AAATGCTCAACACGTTGGCACAAATTTCATCCCTTAGTCGCAGTTAGGGTCGGAGGAATGAATTTTTGAATTGAAAAAAAAAATTTTTTTTCAATCACCACACTTTGGAGAATTCATTTGAAAAAAAATTTTTTTTTTAATCTCTTCGCTCTTTCAAAAATTCACTCCTCCCTCCCTATTATGCGCTAAAAGATGAAATTTGTGTCACTCATTGAGTATTAAATGCTCAACACGTTGGCACAAATTTCATCCCTTAGTCGCAGTTAGGGTCGGAGGAATGAATTTTTGAATTGAAAAAAAATTTTTTTTTTCAATTTCTTTGCGCTTTCAAAAATTCACTCCTCCCTCCCTATTAGGCGCTAAGGGATGAAATTTGTGTCACTCATTGAGTATTAAATGCTCAACACGTTGGCACAAATTTCATCCCTTAGTCGTAGTTAGGGTCGGAGGAATTAATTTTTGAATTGAAAACAAAATTTTTTTTTCAATCTCTTCGCACTTTCGAAAATTCACCCCTCCGTCCCCAAAAGGCGCTAAGGGATGAAACTCATGTCATTGAATTGAGCATTTAATACTCAATAAGTGACACAAGTTTCATTCCTTAGCTATAATTCGGGGGGGAGGGATGAATTTGCAACCGAGATGCGCGTTCCCCGCGCCACTCGACGCTGTAACCAATGGAAAGACGATCGGTTGATCGTCCTTCCATTGCGTGTGGAGGGGGAATTACGTTCCCCCATTCATTCTCCCCTCTTCGTCATTCCAGCGAAGAGAGAGAGAGAGAGAGAGAGAGAGAGAGAGAGAGAGAGAGAGAGAGAGAGCAATATCGTTGCGCTCTTTTGTCTCGTAGAATGGTGGGGCGGGCACACACACATATGCTGCATATCACATGGATGTGCGCCCGCTTAAAAATCACTCCCCATTGGCCCACCCTTAATTGCCAATAACTTTTTAGGGGTGAGTCTGATCAAAAAGTGCAAGAGGACTTTTCTGCTCAGAATAACCCCCTGATCCTAGGGTGTTCAGATGTGCATATACTTCTGAAACACCCTGTATATATTTAAACGTCTTATTAAACTGTGATTTGTCTAACTGAATCACGTGTGTTAGTGAATCGTTACTTCCTACAACAACCTCGATTCCTACATTGGTGACCCCGACGTGATCTGATTAGGAAAATTCGACGTTCTGTGCAACGAAAGTGAAAAATTTCTCGCGACCACGTACGTGCAATTTCCACCGAAGGTCCATTCTCGCGTCTCCGTGGTTAAATCCATTTCCCTGGCCAACACGTGCGCTTCAGTCTTTCGAGTATCGCATAAAATCCCGCGAGTGTAACTCAAATTACTGCTACACTTCTGAAAATCAATTAATTTCGTTGCGTAGCCGGCGCTACAGCAGTTTCCATCGGCATCTCGAAGCTTCTAGAATATTCGAGCGTCATCCGTGGTTTTTTCAGTGTCCCCGAAAAATCAAAACAAAGTGCGATACCCGAGTGAGTATTGTGACCTCGCACCGACACATTGCTGAGCACCCAGAGACGTCGTATTGTGTTGGTGATAAATAGAGACTTATAACGCCTTTCCATTCCACCTTTAGGCCATTTTCGTCACATTATACTTTCAATTTTATTTCTCTCCGAATTTTATTTTAACATCGGTATGGTGACCACGTCTCCCGATATTCAAACGATCAACACACTGACAACTGCCATGGCCACGATGAAACCCAAACTCATCGCGAGAATGTTCAACGCCGAAAAGCCCGCGCTATGGTTCGCGCAGCTGGAGACGCAGTTTGCTGATATCGGGATTGTAACCGAGATAGATAAGTACAATAAAACGGTACCATTAATCGATACAACTTATGCAGCAGAAGTCGAAGATTTAATTGTCTCCAGACCTGTAACAAATCCATACCAAAGCCTGAAAACAAAACTAATTAAATGCTTTACAAAATCCAGGACCGCGAAAATCATCCAATTACTCGACAATGAGAGCATTGGAGACCGCACCCCATCAAAGCATCTCAGACACTTGAAAAGCCTTGTTCCAGGTATTGACGACGAGATCCTTGAAACACGTTGGTTGTCTCATTTTCCCGAGCAGACGAGAGCCACGCTCGTATCTCAGGAGAACGCAAGGGTTGAGGACCTGGCGAAGCTGGCAGACAGAGTACACGAGGTATTCCACCCGAGCAGCGTCGCAGCCATCACTACCTCATTAGACAACGCGACCAACACAGCACTCCTCGAGCGAATCGAACAACTGACGGCAACTGTTGCTGAGTTGCGAATGCATGATTCACATTCACGTTCACGCACACGTTCAGATCACTCGCGTGGACATCGCAGCAACTCACGCCGACGCCCCAGCTCCAGGAAAATACCAAAGAAATTCGACATCTGCTAGTATCACTACAAGTATGGTGATAATGCGCGTAACTGTCAACCTGGTTGTAAGTTTCAGGGAAACTCCAGAGAGGAACGATAGTGGCGGAAGTCGCCTCTCACTCGAAATCTCGCCGCCTATTCATCACCAACAGGATGAATGGCACCCAATACCTCGTAGACACAGGCTCAGACGTTTCTGTCATGCCTTGCAGGCGGCCAGCAAACCAAAGGGACAGCAACGGTTACAAACTCTTCGCAGCCAACGGCACCCTCATCGACACGTACGGCTACGCGTCCATCTCGCCGGATCTCGGTCTCCGCAGAGACTTCATATGGCGATTCGTAGAAGCAGACGTCAGTAAACCCATCATCGGTGCTGACTTCCTGCACCACTTCAGTCTGCTACCGGACTTGAGGAATGGAGCCCTCATTGACGGCTCAACAGGCCTCCAATCTAATGGCCAATCCGCGCGATCCCACGC